TTTTTTTTGAGACAGAGTCTCTGTTGCCCAGGCTGGAGCACAATGGCACGATCTCGGCTCACTGCAACCTCTGCTTCCCAGGTTCAAGCAACCCTCCTCTGCCTCAGCCTCCCAAATAGCTGGGATTCCAGGCGTGAGCCACTGTGCCCAGCCTAACACTAGTCTTAAAGCCCTCCTACTGCATCCAGTTCTGGGATCTGAGCCAGAAAAACCCGAGATCGCATACTGGCTCTGCAACTCACTGGACCTAAGCTTCTTTCACTTTTTCAAAAAGAAAAAAAAGGAGACTGTACTACCCCATCAAAGGGTAACACTTGGTTAAATGGAGTAACACTTGGCTCCTTGCAGGTGTTCAGTTATCATCATTCCAAAGTCTGAACACACAGGCTCCTTTTAGAATCGACTGAGTTAAAATCCCTGACACAGACTGACAGAGCTCCACCTAAATGCTAATACCTACCTCTTATTCACCCCAATCCTCTCCTCTAATAAAGTCGAGCTTATATAATGCCTTTCCCTTTATGATAAGCAAAAGAGGGCAGCAAATAGTGGTAAAGGCTTTGTCTTCTTTGGCCCTATCATTCAAAGAGAGGTCACTTAGGGTCGAAGGGCAATAGCTCTGCTTTGACCTCTCAACTTGATTACAATTTTAAGTGTACACAGATATTAATCTGGAGCATTCATCCCCGCCTGCCCCCGGTAAACATGATTCTATCTTCTTTATGTAGTTTCCACAAATGCCAGAAAACTTTCAGTCTGATTACTATTACCTCTTCCACTAACAGACCGGTGAAAACCAAGGATTTGGAGTTAGTTGGGCCCAGGTTTGAATTCTGGCTTCAGCACTCATCAGCTAAGTTACCTTTAGAGTAAGTACCTTTTTTTTTTTTTTTAGACGATGTCTAGCTCTGTCACCAGGCTGGAGTGCAGTGGCGTGATCTGGGCTCACTGCAACCTCCACCGCCCAGGTTCAAGCGAATCTCCTGACTCAGCCTCCTGAGTAGCTGGGATTACAGGCGTGCACCACCATGCCCGGCTAACTTTTGTATTTTTGGTAGAAACAGGGTTTCACCATGTTGGCTAGGATAGTCTCGAGCTCCTGATGACCTCATGATCCGTCCACATTGGCCTTCCAAAATGACAAAGTGCTGGAACTATAGGCGTGAGACACCACACCTGGCCAGTAATTTTATTTATTTATTTTTTAAGATGAAGCCTTGCTCTGTTGCCAACCCGGAGTGCTGTGGCGTGATCTTGGCTCACTGCTGCCCGGGTTCAAGTGATTCCCCTGCCTCAGTCTCTCGAGTAGCTGGAACTACAGGCACGCACCACCACGTCTGGCTAAGTTTTTGCATTTTAGTAGAGACAGGGTTTCACCATGTTGGCCAGGATGATCTTGATCTCCTGGTCTCGTTATCTGCCGGCCTCAGCCTCCCAAAGTGTTGGTATTATAGGCGTAAGCCACCAAGCCCAGCCTATTTTTAATTTTTTTTTTCTTCTATAGACAGAGTCTTGCTCTGTTACCCAGGCTGAAGTGCAGTGGTACAATTTCCGCTCACTGCAACCTCTACCTCCCAGTTTCAAGTGATTCTCCTGCCTCAGCCTCCCAAGTAGGGACTTACAGGTGCCTGCCACTACGCCTGGCCAGTTTTTGTATTTTTAGTAGAGGTGAGGTTTCACCAAGTTGGCCACTTATTTATTTATTTATTTATTTATTTTTATTATTTTATTGTTTGTTTGTTTGACTCAGAGTCTTGCTCGGTTGCCCAGGCTGGAGTGTAGTTACATGATCTCGCTCACTGCAACTTCTGCCTTCTGAGTTCTAAGCGATTCTCCAGCCTCAGCCTCTGGAATAGCTAGGATTACAGGTGTGCGCCACCAACCCAGCCTGACACCAGTCTTAATGCCCTCCTACTGCAACCAGCTCTGGGATCTGAGACAAAAAAACCTGAAATCACATACTGGCTCTGCAACTCATTAGACTTGTTTCTTTTGCTTTTTCAAAAAGAAAAAAAAAAAAAGGAGACTGCATTATCCCCTCAAAGGGTAACACTTGGTTGCCCAGGCTAATTTTGTATTTTTAGTAGAGATAGGGTTTCACTGTGTTGGTCAGGCTGGTCTCAAACTTCTGACCTGAGGTGATCCAACCACCTCGGCCTTCCAAAGTGTTGGGATTACAGGTGTGAACCATATTATTTTAATGGATTGATCTATATTATCCAACTTTGAAGTTGTTGTAAAACTTTCAAGATACTTAAATAAAGAACCTGGTCAATATCTGGCATCTAATAGGCACTCAGTATTAACAGTGGCAAACACTACATACCGTAGCCCTTAATATAATGCTAAGAATCTTAAACTATCTGCGGACAGGGTTTATTTGTAGAATGAAATGAGCTATATCTGAGGAGTCCAAGATTCAACAAGTTTCTCAATATTCTACAAGTAAAGCAATGCTCCAGAGTCCAGAATCCTGTCCAAGATTTCCCTGGTTTGCCCACAGGCAGAGCTGATTACCCTGACCTCAATGGTCACCACCATGCTTTTTTTTTTTTTTTTTTTTGACGCAGAGTTTCGCTCTTGTTGCCCAGGCTGAAGTGCAATGGCATGATCTCGGCTCACTGAAACGTCCGCCTCCTGGGTTCAAGCAATTCTCCTGCCTCAGCCTCCCAAGCAGCTGAGATTACAGGCATGTGCCACCATACCAGGCTAATTTTGTATTTTTAGTAGAGGTGGGGTTACTCCATGTTGGTTGGGCTGGTCTCAAACTCTCCACCTCAGGTGATCCACCCACCTCAGCCTCCCAAAGTGCTGGGATTACAGGCGTTTGAGCCACCACACCCAGCCACCACCATGCTTTGTACTAGCTTGAATATGTGCTCTTACTTTTGTCATCCTTCCTGTCCCCTCTTTGAGGCTATCAATTCTCTGAGGGCACAGAGGTAGCTTATTTTTGATACTAAGTTACAAAATAAATATTTGTTAAATAAATATCCCCCAAAAAGCCATAAATTTTAAAACTGCTAAGCAGAGTCAACTCCTATGAGGAAGGAATCTAACTTTTCCCTTTAACCAAGTCAATTGCACAAGGCCCAACTGTGTTGACAGCACTGAGACAAAACTAAATGAAGTGAGAATTAATACAGTTTACACCCTGTCATGCCTTATTTAAATCACCAAGATTATAAGAAACATTCCTGTCACCTGGCTCAATCCAGTTCCTAGTCTTCTGTCTGTGGCTCCCCTGAACTTCCACAGTTTAGAGCACTTTTTTGGCATTCTGTTTAAGAATCTTAATTTGATTCAATGGGAAAGCATGAAGTTCTCATTTTAAGTTTTCTTTGTTTGTTTTTGAAAGAGAATCTTGCTCTATCACCCAAGCTGGAGTGCAATGGTGTGATCTCAGCTCACTGCAATCTCCACTTCCCAGCTTCAAGCAATTCTACTGCCTCAGCCTCCCCAGTAGCTGGCATTACAGGTGCCCACCACCACAACCAGCTAATTTTTGTATTTTTGGTAGAAACGGGTTTCACCAAGTTTGAGCTAAGTTGGCTCAAGCTCCTGATCTCAGGTGATCCAGCTGCCTTGGCCTCAAAGTGCTGGGATTACAGGCATGAGCCACTGTGCCCTGCTTTTTTTGTTTGTTTTGAGACAGGGTCTCACTGTGTCACTCAGGCTGGAGTACAGTGGTGTAATCTTGGCTCACTGCAGCCTCCACCTCCCAGGCTCAAGTGATCCTCCCACTTTAGCCTCCCGAGTAGCTGGGACTACAGATGCCCACCATCACACCCGGCTAATTTTTGTGTATTTTATAGAGACAGGGTTTCGCCATGTTGTCCAGGCTGGTCTTGAACTCCTGAACTTGAGTGATCTGCCCATCTCAGCCTCCCAAAGTACTGGGATTATTACAGTGTGAGCCACCATGTGTGGTTTAAGTTGTTTGTATCTTACAAGATCCTCATATTAATGTACTTGACATTTTGTCTTTACCTAACACTATAAAGGCAGATTGCTCCAAACAATCCCCTCTTGCCCTCCACAGATTGTACAGACACCTCCCTAATTTAGTGGGCAGGAAGCCTATACAACCACACTATCAAGGATAGCGACAGCCCAGTGCTCCCAAATGGAGAGAGGTCTCGTACTCATCAACGGTAGGCGCGGCAAGATATAAAAGAAAAGTATATACTATTCGACAGCAAGTTTAGTACAACATGGACAAACCCACAGCAGATACTTCCTAACAGCTTGCAATATGCAATTGGATTTGGCTTTTTCTTCCTTTTTGCGGGGAGACAGGGTTTTGTTCTATCACCCAGACTAGAATGCTGTGGCAGGATCACAGCTCATTGCAGCCTCGACCACCTGAGCTCAAGCAATCCTCTCACCTCAGCCTCCCAACTAACTGGGACTACAGGTGGTGCAGCCATGCACCACTATGCCTGGCTAATTTTTTTAATTTTTTTAAGAGATGGGGGTCTCAAACTCCTGGGCTCAAGCAATCCTCCCACCTCAGCCTCTCAAAGTGCTGGGATTACAGGCATAAGCCACCACGCCTAACCAGATTCAGCCTCCCTGACACTCGCCCCTGCCTTTATGGTGAACATTCTCTTACCTTCCCTGTTTCTATGGGTAGGACCTGAGAGCTCTCACCTCTCTGCTTCACTTATAAATGTTGAGATGCCTGGACAGACTCCTCCAGATGTCAAATATTCACATGATGCCTGGACATCATCATGTCCAGGCATCCATCCAGAGGTGGAAGCAGTTTTCTCATTCATGTGGTCAGAGAAGCAAAGATCCTCCTCAGTACGTTGAGAGATTAATGTATAAAGGCAGGGGATTAACCATGGGACTCTGTAAGAATAGTGGTTGCTACAATAGCCAGGGGAAAAAAGCTTAACCATGGCCTTTTGTAGGGGTGGTGTTTTTTGACACTAAACTGGATCATACCCAAGTTAAGTTATATAATTAACAGAAGAACAGTCTTACCTGGAACCCTGGATCTTAAGAAATAGAGAAACTTCCCATTCTTGGAGTGCATAATGGCTCTCTTAATAAACTCTACAACAGATTGACAGCGATCCTCAAATTTGGGATGACACCATAGGCTGAAGGTTCCTGTCATGGAAAATTAAGACGTAAAAATTTAAAAACTTACTTTAGAAGATATGAGAGACTGGTTTGAATTTTTTTTTTTTTTTTTTTTTT